AATTCCCTCCAACCTGACACAGCCAAACAAAACAACGGAAGTTTCGATTTCGCCATGGAACAGAACGCGTAGACGGCTTTGCCGCTGGCCGCTGCCGCAGAACGCCTCCCGTGTGACAGGTAATAAAAGCGACAGCGACAAATTTCGCTGATCACGGTCGTTTGTCGCCTCCCGTGTGTCGAGCCCATAAAGGTGCACAGCTAGTGTTCTTATGGCACACACAGTTGAGAACACACATATCTACATGTATAGCTGTAGATGTTAAATTAAGAAGTCTTGAAAAAGAAAATGTTCTCCAAAGTTTCTGTAGTTATTAGTTATACTGTGACTTATTTTGCAAATAAACTATTTCGTGATAGCAATGCCAATGTGCATTATTGGGGGGGGCACACATTTTGGCAGCCGAGGCCACACAGCCTGATAAAAATCTGTATCCCTCCTTAACTTTTGCTGTGAAGAAACCCTCTGCAACGTTACTGGTTATACTGTGATTGATTTTGCAAATAAACTATTTGGTGATAGCAACGCCAACAAAAGCAAAGTGTAAACCGAGTGTAAATTCACTGGAGAGCAACGTGTTTCCATGATCACGTCTGGTTTTACAGTATTATAGTATCAAAGTATTTTTCTATACAAAGTATTCCCAATGGAACTGGGCAAGTGGCTCCTCCTACTTTGCGCGCTCCCGTGAACGGGGAAACAATTTTTGACAGGGGTAACTACTTTGGCACAACACCAGAAAGGCAGACCCGAGCGTAAACACACTGTCAATCAGCCGTTCATGAAAAAGCATGTGAAATAAAAAAAGGTACTTACTCCCCCCTGCGAGGCGGATTCACCCCGAATCCGACGCGCGTGAGCCGTCAGCGGAAGTCTGTCTGCGGAGCTAAACAGCCGACCGGTGGAGTAATCTCAGCCCCCCGGGCTTTAGAAGAAAGCATGGCACCACGTCGGCTCTCCAGAGAAGTTCTTCCAGCGTCTGGCTCAGCACGACGGAGTCACGGCACCAAAGATTTTGGGTAATTTTATCAGTCCAAGATTACCTTAGGGGAAAGTTTAAAGCACAGGGGGTTATAGTAATCAATCAATCAACACCAATACCAATCATAAACAATCAATTTAGACTTTGCAAAGTGGAGAAAAAAATCAGTCCACACCGAGACTGAAACCAGGTTGTTCTCTCATCAGACTGAAGTCCTCCGATAGCATTTATTAGCACACAAGCATACACACACAAAGATTAACGCGCACACATTTTTAGTCTGGTGTGCAAACAACAAAGGACGTTGGCTGCTGGTGTTTGTGTAAAACTACCACTGGCTGCCAGGTCTCCTCTCTGCATCCTGATGTTCTCCCCGTCAAACAGGTCTGGCAGTGTCCTTGTCCTCCTGTCAAAGTAGATCTTCTGTTTCTCCTGTTTCTTTTTCAGTCTCTGCTGAATCATGTCCACACCTCCAGGCGTAAGTAGCAAGGTTGACATTGGCAACTTACTCTTGAGCCTCCGGCCCATGAGCATGAGCTGGCGAAAGTCCAACACCTTCCATGGGTGTGTTTCTGCACTCCAACAGTGAAATATAAGGGTCTCCTTTACGTCCTCTGATTTCTAATTGTCTGAACCATCCTTTCAGCCTGTCCATTCGACTGAGCATGTGTGGGTCTTGACGTAATGTGCTTGAATTCCCACCTTTTAGCAAACTCCTTAAACTCAGCACTGGCATACCACGTCTGGTATACCATGCCTGGCGAAAATCGATTTCATGGCCACTATTACCCTTCTACTGGTAGTCTCAGTCAGCTTTGGCATCTCTGGGAACTTTGGAAGTAATCCACACACAGCAGAAATTCTGATCCATTGTGGTTAAATAGATCTGTTCCCACGTTTTCCCATGGTCTGTTTGGTATCGGATGAGACAGTAGTGGCTCTTAGGGGTTACTGTTTCTGTTCTCATTACACACTGCACACTGTGACACCATTTTCTCGATGTGTGTTGACATATTCGGCCAGGATAAAACGTCTCTCGCTCTTTCTTTGCACTTGACCATTCCTAGGTGTGACTCGTGGATTTTCTCCAGCATCTCTTGCCTGAGCTGCTTTGGAACAATGACTTTAGCTCGTTTGAACACTAGTCCTGATGTGAATGTAATCTCATCTCTGAATGTCCAGTATGCTAAAATGTCTTTATGAACTGCACTTCTTTCTCCTGGCCATCCCTCCATTATCCTGACTTTCAGCAACTGCATTTCATTGTCTTCTGACGTAGCTTTCTGAAACTGTAGTAGCTTTTCATCTGACATTGGTAGCTGCAGTGTCAGCAGATTCACCTCCCAACTCTCTATCCAGTGGATCCTCAGTCTGTTCTTTGAGGAAAGCTCACCTTAAAGTGTCGGCAATGTAGAGTTCCTTTCCTGGTTTATACCTCACCTCTACGTTGTATCTCTGTAATCTCAGCAGCATCCGATGTAGCCTCATCGGAGCTTGATGTAGTGACTTCTTCAAGATGCTCTCCAATGGCTTGTGGTCGCTCTCCACATTGATGTTTTTTCTATAAACATACTGGTGAAATTTCTCAAAGCCGTACACAATAGACAGCAGCTCCTTCTCAATCTGAGCGTATCTTTGCTGGCAGTCTGTGAGAGCTCTCGATCCATAGGCCACAGGTTGCCCTTCCTGAGAGAGATAGGGGGTGGCTAAGACAAATGTCTGAATGTAACCCTAAATTCTTTACTTGTCTTAGAGAAAGTCACGCATTTTCTGAAAGGGTAAAGTGTGTGTGTGTGCGCGTATATATGTCGATGGTGTGTGCAGGGATGTGGGGTCTCACGTATAAAAGGGAGAGGGTTTGAGGCTAACACAAACCAGTCATCAATTCATTTATTGACATATAGGGTCATTAAAGATCATATCACAAAAGAGGACTACAAACAATACACCTGTCACGTATGACGAAAGGTGGGTTGGGGGAAAGGGCATAAAGGTCAAAGAAAAATAGACCTGTCAAAAACCTTGACGAAAGGTGATTCCTTATATCTCTCTCGCGTAGGACCTGGTTCCAGCAAAGACCCCTGCAGAGAAACCTACAGTGGACCCAGTGCCAACTCTGAGTCTGAGGTCCGATCCATCGTTAACTTTGTGAGCACTCATGGCAACATCAAGGCCTTCATCTCCATCCATTCCTACTCTCAACTGCTCCTGTATCCCTACGGCTACACCAGGACTCCTATCAGGGACCAGAACGAGCTGGTACAGCACCCTTTCTCTGATTGGTTCTGCTTCCATGTCCCATGTATCTGTTACACGTTGACAGATGTCTTCTTCAAACTGTTTGTAAACCTGGAGGAAAAATTATAGGCAAGAATAAAAAGGTGAACTTGATTGTGGTAATTCTTTTCTACAGCACCAACTGGCCCGGAGGGCCATCACAGACCTGGCCTCCCCGTACGGTACTCGTTACAGATACGGCAGCATCATCTGTGAGTTTCGTTGTGTTACTATTAAAATCTTTGGGCTTCAGGGGCTAAAAGGCTACAATTATACTATTAGACTATAATTCTCATCCTTAAGGCAAATCCTGGCTTGTGTTTTTATGTTGTTGTGTTTTATGAATAAATACATTGAGTTATTGTAGCGGACAGTGTGGGTTTAACTATTCCCACTGAGTAAAGAAATAAATGGAGACGGATGAGTTACTGTGGCAATGTCTCAAGGGGGAAGATGAAAAAGAAGACTCATTTACAGTAGGTAAAGATGGAAGCCTTTCTGTCTGGTTGTTTTGGTCAAAGTAAAGCCAGAATGTTTTTTATTTACTGCATGGTATACAGGGCGAATGGTGGACTGTGCCAAGCTCATTGCTGCACAACCTGATGTATTACCTAGCTCTAGGCTCAGCAGCCCAATAGGAGAAGCCCAGACTGTCCTCTCTCAAGCAGGATCCACCTTAGACATGTCATCCTTCCAGCATGTCCGGGGTTGGACACAAGGTCTACGTCCAGAGAGGTATCCTGATTAGATGCTTGAGCCAACTCAGCAGACTCCTGTTCACTATAGAGAAGCTCCAACTCTACCCCGACTCCTCCACCAGATGTCTGAGCACCCTTTTCCCAAGACTGAACCTGGCTGCCCTGCGAGGCCACCTGCATTTGCTTCACTTTCTAGTTTAGCGCTCTTTTTGATTACAACAGACATTTAGAATCAGCTGCTCTAGTGGCATTTTATCTAAAATGGAGCTCTCATGAAAAGGTTGAACAGTAATAACATTTCTGTTCATTGTAGACCAGGCTAGTGGTGGTGCCATCGACTGGACCTACAACCAGGGCATCAAGTACTCCTACACCTTTGAGCTGAGGGACACTGGTCTTTATGGGTTCATCCTGCCTGCCAGTCAGATTGTCCCCACTGCCAGTGAAACGTGGCTAGGTCTGAAGGTCATCATGAACCACGCTCTCAGGAACCCTTACTAACATCTTGTGTTCATGATTAAATTTGTGACTTATGGAGAATCTAATTTTGGTCACTCTGGAGTAACTCCAGAATAAAAATTGTAACAAAGAAAATAAAAGTTTGAAAATTGAAGTTTTCTCTTTGTGCTTTGCCGCTGTAGCTTGTCTGGTTGACCACTCTTTGTTGTACTATTTTTAGATAGTTTTTATGACTATTTTAAGCTTTGTGTGTTTTTTTTCTATGTGCAGCGCTTTGGTTGGCTGTAATGCCATGTTAAAAGCGCTTTATAAATAAAGAGTAGTATGGTATACATTTGTTCATATGTGTGGAGAACCCACACATGCACAGAGGACCCTAGGCTGGGATTCAAACCCGGGTCCTTCATGCTGCAAAGCAACCATGCTAACCACTGCTCCACTGTGCAGCCCACACGAAGACATATTTATAATGAATTGGACGCATCGGCGTTCCTCTGAAGCAAAAAGGTTTTAGCCCATGTAAAGCTAAATGCATCTGTAATATTTGGGTAATAGTCTTTTCACACATGGACTTGATGCTGCTCTCACAAACACTCCAAGTCTTTATTTCACAATCGTTCACAGCTAAAACCATGAAACCACTTCATCTGAGACGGATGGTGAAGGGTTTAACTCATCAAAAAGGCTGCGGAGAAGTTCTGACTGACAGAAGTCCATGATGAATACAGTCCTTCCAGGGTGTCCGTAGTTTATGCCGATGACATCACGCTTCACAAAGATCTGATTTCCTTAAGTGACTACGACTGCATTAGCTCTAGACACCAGTCTCCACAAACACACCTTACAAAGGCTGGTGCTCCATCCTCACACAAGTTTAACACAAAAGGACACACACACTTCACATTCCACTGATTACAGGCCGTTAAACATCCAGTGATGGGAGCTAGTCATCCACAGAAACATGCCAGGTTAGAGAAGAACAATGATCTCAGTGCAAAAAAGCTTTGAATTGTCAAGTTCACTGATCAGGCACTGTGCAAAAAATCCAAACGTAAACAAGCAGATATTAAATATCACTCACACATCATTCAGGTGCTGATTGTTGTCCAGATCGGAGGTCTGAGCTCCTTTTCTGCTCACATCCAGCTCAGGACTTCCTGAAGCGTGTGTAAAAAACACATTTTATTGAAGGAAATTAACTAAAGATGGAAATCAAACCATGGAACACTGGAAGTCGAGCCAAAACTAAGAAGTGAAGTATTTTCTTTGCTATAGAAACAAAACAGCGCAGTGGTGGAGGTATGCTGGTTGTTCTGAGGCAGGATCGGGTCACTTCCAAGGTCTGCTGCTCTGAACCCTGGAGCCGTGTCTTCCAGCTGTGGAGGAACTCAGGCGGCTGGAGGCTGTGGACCGGCTGCTGCTGCTGGCGGACATGCGGCCTGTCGTAAAGACGAAGGACGTGTCATAGCCAGGTAAGATGGAAAATTCAACAGTTACTACTGAAGCTTAGACAATACATTCACTTTTCATGAAATGTGCCTAAAAATAGATTTTTTCATATATGAATAAAACACCTACAGATATTTTAACCCGGCTCTGGCACGCCATCAGGTGTGTCTGAGAAGAGAAATAACTACAACATGTGGGACAGCAGCTCTCGAGGACCGGGATTGGACACCAGTGTCCTCTGGGGACTGATGGGGGAGGAGGGGGGGGGAGTATTTTTTTCTTCTTTTTTGCCTTTCCTTTATTTTTTTTACATACAGTGGTTACGGAAACTATTTAGACCCCCATCAATTTTTATATTGCAGCCATTTGCTAAAATCAATCCATTCATTTTTCCTCAATGTACACACAGCACCCCATATCGAAAGAAAAACAGAATTAGAAATTTCTGCAGATTTATAAAAAAAAAGATAACTGAAACATCACGTGGTTCTAAGTATTCAGACCCTTTGCTCAGTGTTTAGTAGAAGCACCCTTTTGAGTTGACACGGCCACGGGTCTTCTTGGTAAACAAGTTTCTTACACCTGGATGTGGAGATCATCTGCTATTCCTCCTTGCAGATCCTCTCCAGTTCTGTCAGGTTGGATGGTGAACGTTGGAGCAGAGATGCTCTATTGGGTTTAAGTAAGTCTGGCTGGGCCACTCCTTCGTTATTTTTGCTGCTTGCTTAGGGTCGTTGTCATGTTGGAAGCTAAACCTTTGGCCCAGTCTGAGGTCCTGAGCACTCTGGAGAAGGTTCTTGTCCAGGACATCCCTGTACTTTGCTGCATTCATCGCTCCCTCGATTACAACCAGTCAGTGCAGCCAAAAAACTGCCTCACAGCATGATGCTGCCACTGCCATGCTTCACTGTGGGGACTGTATTGGACAAGTGATGAGCAGTGTCTGGGTTTCTCCACACATACTGAATAGAGTTAAAGCCAAAACGTTCTATATTGGTCTCATCAGACCAGATAATTTCATTTCTCACCACCTCGGGGTCCTTCAGGTGTCTTAGCAAACTCCATGCCGGCTTACATGTGTCTTGCTGAGGAGAGGCTTCTGACGGGCCACACTGCCATAAAGCCCTGACTGGTGGAGGGATGCAGTGATGGTGGACTTTCTACAACTTTCTCCATCTCCTGACTGCATCTCTGGAGCTCAGCCACAGTGATCTTTAGGTTCTTCTTTACCTCTCTCTCCAAGGCTCTTCTACCCCAGTAGCTCAGTCTGGCCAGACAGCCTGCTCTAGGAAGGGTTCTGGTCATCCCAAATGTCTTCCATTTAAGGATTATGGTGTCATGGTCTGCATCTGCCCCCTCCTTTATGTGCCTCCTGGTGTCCTCCATCCCTCTCTAGATTCCCTTTTGTGTCCCTTTGTTCCCCAGCTCCTCTTGTGCTCCACTCCAGATTCTCCCCTTGTGCTCTCTTAGCGCCCTCATGTGTCCTTGTCTGCATCCCTGTTATGTGTCTTATGTTGTAGCTCTTTGGCGCCCTCTTGTGTCCTTTTTCTGTGTGTCAGTTTAGTGTCTGATATCTTTTTCACTATTTCCTCCCAGGTCAGCTCCATCCTCGTTGTCCCCAGCTCAGTGTGTGTGTATGTACTATGTCCTCCTCCAGCAAGTTTGTGTGAGTCCTTCCCTCTGTCTTTAGGAAATTGTTGTTTAGTTTTGTGTTAAGGTATTTGCCATCCTCTGTTTCTGTTTTCCCCATTGAGTTGATTAGTGTCACCTGCCTTCCCTCCAGCAGCTCACCCCACACACCTGCTTCCTGTTTCCCTGATTGCTCCTCCCAGAGTATTTAAGCCCTGTCTGTCTCTGTGTTCTTGTCGGTCCATTAATGTTTGTTTGTTGTTCTTGTCAGGCTTGTTCCTGTTCCTAGCATCTAGTGTTCCAGTGTCTCTAGTGTTTTTATTGCTCAGTTAAGATTATTGGATTTTTGGGTTTTGGCTCCCTGCTTTTGGACTACTCCTAAATAAAGGATTTATTTTCATCATCTACCTCCTGCCTGGTTCATCTGGTTTTCTGCATTTTGGGTCCTAAACATCCTACTACACCAAAACGTGACATATGGAGGTCACTGTGCTCTAGGAACCTTTACTGCAGCAAAGATTTTTTTGTAACCTTGGCCAGGCCTGTGCCACAATTCTGTCTCTGAGCTCTTCAGACAGTACCTTTGACCTCATTGTTGTGATTTGCTCCGACGTGCATTGTGAGCTGTAAGGTCTTATATAGACAGATGTAGGGCTTTGCTAATCAAGTCCAATCAGTATAATCAAACACAGCTGGACTCCAATGAAGATGTAGGACCATCTCAAGGGTAATCAGAAGAAATGGAAAGCACCTGAGTTAAATATATCAGTGTCGCAGAACACAAAGGGTTTGAATACTTGGGGCCATGTGATGTTTCAGTTTGTATGTTTTAATAAATCTGCAGACATTTATAAAATTCTGTATTTTTCTGTCAATATGGGATGCTGTGTAGTGATGGCGAGATGAAGCCGCATGATGAGCTGAAGCTTTCCATCCAACTGGTCGACTCTTGATTCGAGGCACCGTGACAACTCAGGTGCTCTATTGCGCCAACAAGTGGATGATTCATGTAAAACTTTAAAATGACAAAATAAATGCTTATGATGGAAATATATTTTATTTCATGACGTTTATTTACAATTTTTTTATGGGAAAGAAAACTGCGCATGCTCAACCTATTTAACCTGACTGAACACTTGCTGCATATAAACTCACGACATGATCGGACCATTTCAGTCCATGTAAACAGAGATTTGGGTTTTCCGATCGACAACGATTTGAATCGGATTGGGAAAAATTTGGTGCATGTAAACGTGGTTTAAGACAGGGGAATCAGCAGTAACGACGTCTAAAGGCGCACATTTATATTTTTAAATTTTTTGTGTGTCCTGTCTGGCTGTGAAGCACAGAATTGATGTCTGAATGCTGTTGACAAGCCTTACAGATTTACTCTCAGGTGAAGCATCAAAGCATCTGCTTTTAATGTCACGTCTGATTCTTAAAGGGACATTATGGAAGTTTGACAGCCAAAACATGTATAGAAATAATACATTTCTTCTTCATACATTCTCCTGCAATGCCCTGGTCCTGTAGAATGAGACCTGGCATTTTTACTGTGATTGCCTGTTTTTCTGTAAAATCACAGAAAAAGAGCTGCTCGGGTCGAGCAGGCTGCTTCATGCGCGTTCACGCTCAGGCATCGCCCTCCGAACCGTTCTTTGAACGTTGTTTCAGCTGTCATCAAGGATATAAATGTTACAGACACCACAGATGTAAATGGCGCTTTAGCTCGCTTAGTAAAGCGTTGGGGTTTCATGCAGAAGATCTGGGTTCGATTCTGGATGTGAACATCATTTATTTAGTTTCTTTTTTACATTAATGGTATTTTTTTTTTTACAGTAAGATGCCCAAATTTTTATTTGAGACTTCCCGAACAGCATTGAATTCACAGATAAAAAAGATGTGGGTTCAACTTTCATTTTGGAACAATTTTTCAAGCAAGAGAAGGGAATGATCTGAGCATGTAGGAGGACTGACCCATCATAAACCTTTGTCGGCTGTGCTGAAGAGAAAGGTACAGAACCAAATTATTTAATTAATTAGCTGCTCGTTCTCCTGTCCTCTGTGCCACACACACACACACACACACACACACACACACACACACACACACACACACACACACACACGGGACCGTCTCAGCTGTTATTTTCGTTAAGGAGTGTGCACGTACAGCATGGGCGCCTCATGCACGAGCCTACTATTGAAGCTACCGTTACGCTTTTGGCCTGAGGGGGCAATCGCGAGCATAAAAATTCAAAACTCTGTAAAGTCCCTTTTAAACTTTATTGCTATTGTTTTTGATGCTTTGTAATTTCGACCAGACACGGAGTCAGAGGTGAAAGAGAAAGGAAGAGACAAAAGGTGTGTGTGTGTGTGGGGGGGGGGGCACAGAAATAAACAATTATGAACAAGAATCTGCTTCTAGACCTGCAGAAAGAGAAGAAAAATGCCAGAAAAAAATGGGACACACAACAATACAACAAGATCAAGCTATCACTGCATCAACTTCATGAAGAAATATATAATCAACATTGCTTAACTGAACAATCACACAATTATAAATCACAGTGCATTAAGTGCCCACCATAGTCTTAAAACATGTGTTGAACATGCCCAAGCCCATACTAATGAGAGCACCATGTGAGCACCTGTGTGTGTGTACACGCCAGGGTTTCCCTTACATAGGCGTAGCCGTGGCGGCCCGCCACGGCTGAAATCTTACCGCCATGCCTACAAGATCCCAAGTTTTATTTATTTATTTATTCTTTTTTGCGCTGTTTCCCAAAGAAGCAGCGGGAACTACTATGTTGTCACTTGTGATCACAGCCGGCGGGCAGCAAGAAGAAAGGAGCAGGCAGAGCAAGGTGCAGTTACAGCATAAGTTACTGAGTTTAAAATTAGAAAGGTAGCAGTGGATATAATGCATTTTGGTTTACATGCTTCAATAGCATTAAGATAAACGAGTGTTGACGATCTTGACAGGGTTTCCTCCAGTGCTTATTAGGCCAGGTTTTCCTCCCCCCACCAGGCTAATCATTACTTATTCATGTAAAATTTATTTATTTTTTCATGTCTGACTTTAACCGCATCTAATACTGTATTACGGCGTGAGCGCAACAGCGACAACTTAAGATCGATGTGTGAGCAGCCTGAGAGGTCGGGTGTTTCGTCTGAACCATTAAAACCTCCAGCAGGCTACGCTGCACTATTGACGTTTTAGCGCGCGGCGCTAACAACTTAGCGACGTGACATGTCTCGGAGAAACCGTAAAAACACGTTGGACGCTTCTTCTGAAGCGGGAAAATAACACCTCTTCTTAAGCAGAGCACGACGTTGCCTCGGCTCGTTCACGGCCGAG